ACCTCTTTTCAGCTCTCGGATTCATGGCTTCTCTCCATAACTGCCCAAACTCCATTTTCCCAGCTTCACCTCTCCAAATGTGCCAGAAGATTTAAATCTTAGACTCAAGGCCAATCAACAGAACAGGCCTGCGGAGGCACCTGGCCTCAGGCCCTAACAACTGTTCCCAGGGCTGACTTCCTGAGCCCCTGACCTCCCAGGGGAGTGGGCAGGCAGGAGCAGCCAGAGCCCTCAGTGCTGCTGACATCTTAGGGTCTTCTACTTTTCTTGAAGAAAAGGTCTGGTGAGAGCAAGAGCATTTAGGAAAATAATAAACCTCACCTGGTGTTCATTGTTCATGCCGTCACTGGCCCCTAAGTTGTTAGAAAGCCAGTGGGTTGCTCTCTTCCCGGAGCCCACCTCAGTGGGGCCGTTGTCAGTGGTGGGGGTCGTGAGAGACCATCAAAGCCCCTATGGTGAGTGGTATGCCCCCACCAGCTTGGGCAGTGCCCCACGGCCCGAGCCTCGGCCCCACTAACATGCGTCTCTGCCCTCAGATTCACATGAAGACGATGCCAGCTGCCATGTACAGACTGCTGACGGCCCAGGAGCAGCCTGTCTACATCTGAGGCCGCGCCGGCCCCCGGAGGTGCGCATGGAGGACTCCCTCACCCGTGGTTGTGTTTCTCGTGCTGCATCTGTGTGCCCACTGAGACATCTCCCTCTCATGCCCAGCATTCAGTTTTACGCAGGAAGAGAAGAATCCTCAAAGACCTCTTCGCGCGCTCTCTCTCTCTCATTTGCATTTTTGTTTTTAATACCAGGGAAGTTGTGTGTGCTCTCCCTTGAGGATGGAGAGCAGCCAGGGGCTAGCTGGTGTCTGCCCAGGACTATCCTGAAGGGCCCCTGGGGCTCCTGAGCAGCACTGTCACTGTCCAAGGGGAATGCTCCCTTCCCAAGAGGTGCAGAGCTTCCAGAGGAGCTTCCGGGGCAGCGAAGAAGCTGACTCAGCAGCACCTACAGTCCCCTCACTGATGTCTGCTCTCCTCAATTTATGGGAAAATGATAGGAACGAGGGCCAGCCTGTGTCTTTACACCCACCCACCATGGACTTGGGCCACCATATATTATTTCTGAGCCAATCCTGTGCCTCTTCTATAGCTAGTTTTAGTTTCTACATAATTGTGTTTTCTCATATGAGCCTTCTTCCCCAAGGATGGAAAGGGAACTGCCTTGGACAAGGGCACCATCATGTTGGAGAGAGCTTGGCAATTCGTCAGGTGTCCTGGGGTTCCCAGTCATCACACAGATGGGCAGGTGCCCGCTGCCTCCCTGTCACACATGTGCATATTCAGTCCCACCAGCTCATATACCAGCTTCCCTCCCCACACCAGTGAGGCACACAGAGCCCCTAGACAGCCCACACCACCTGGGCTCCCAGCATTCTAGTGGGCTCCCCGCATGTGCCCCCTGACACACAGGGGTCTAGGGGGGAGGGATCACTCTCCATGAAGCTGAGGATAGGATGTAATTGTGATACGTTGTCTGGCTCAAGGTGGGCCCAGTTTTCTTCTCTGCTCAGGGCCGGGAGGTAGGATGTGACATTTGAAACACCAGAATGGTACATAAACCACAAAACTAAGGGGTCAAGAACAACCTCAGGCTACGTCTCAGAATCCCCAAATGGGTTCCAGAAACATCATTTGCTGCTTGTGGGTCTGAGGAGTTTTCAGTTGCTGTGGAATGTTCCATGTTTCCATCGGGGGCCTCGTAGTCATGGTCTGTCAGTTCGGTGCCCATGTTTTAGTAATACTATTCTGAGCCAGCTTTCACTTATTCTTGGTCCAAAGAGCATCTTGTTTTCATGTGGGTGGGGTGTGGCTTGGTTGGGTTTTTGTTTTGTTTTGTTCATGACCTCAGCAGAGGCAGGGGAAGAGAAACTAATATATTTTATAATATTAATGTAGTCCCTGTTCTCTACATCTGGGATATTTATGTGTGTCTGTGGAAATAGGAACTTGGTGAGCTCACATTGGGTAGCATGTATTTATATGTTGAGTGGGGGTACTTCGGGGAGGGGGATATGAAATATAAAAAGATGAGGACCAAGAGATTTCCATGACCAAGTGGTGTGGTCTGCTCCCCTGGGATGACCTCTGGACATTCTGAGTACCTGGTTAGAGTCAGGAAAGCAGACTGACTGAAAGGTGTCAGCCGCTGAGCTCTGGCTGTGCTGCGAGCCCTCGCAAAGCCCAGATATCCTCTCAGGAAGGTGCAGCCCTTTCTCCAGAGGTGCCAGGTGAGCAGACCCAGGCCTCTGGTCTCCAGCTCATGCTGCTGGGAGACCCCCACAAGCACGAGGCATCAGGAACTGTGGTCCAGGTTCTCATTTACCAAACTGCGGAATGTCTGATAATATACTCAAATGCTAAAGAGTCATATGTTCATCTCGCCTTTGCCAAAAAGAGACTGTGGGTAAAACGGGAATGTAGTGTCAGCGGTGGCATTTCAGGCACCAGGTGCCTTGGTAAATCACTAGAGAGGCTCATGCCCCCGGCTGCCAGTTGGGCACCAGGACTGCCTGCCCAGGCACCTGCACAGAGGCCTGCTCGTGACTGGCCAGTGGATGGGACTCTGTCTGCATCTCCTGTGCAAACTCCCAAAGAATTACATCTGGATATCGTCACTCCAGGAGGGGGAGGCAAAACATGCCTTCTGCTGTTGCACGAGAATCTTGGGAAGTTGCACAGGTGCCAAGGAAGCCATGTTGGTAAGCTCTCCTAGAGGACAGCATGTTTTAGTGTAAGAGGAGGATTATCCACCGCACACCTTCACCCTGTGGGGTGGCTCCTCACACCCAGGTAGGATATGTTTCTGGAGCTCAGTACAGGTTCACCCACCGGAAGTGCATCCTTTTCCCCCATCCATTGGATAAAGGGAGTTAACCTACCTTCAGTGAACCAGTGAGGCAGGATCTTGTATGTTAGTAACTCTGTGTCTGAAGGTCCCCTGGGAAGTGGTGGCCTGTTTCCCTTGACACCCCAACATGCATAATGATAAGTGTAAATATCTGAATACCCTGTGTGGTGGGGAAGATTGCACAGGGCCTTCCCAAGCATGGCCCAGGCAAAAAGCCACTCCTGCTGCTTGGGTAAGACATGCTGGTGACTCAGCTTTAGGGATAGATTCCCAGATTCATCTACCCCTTTTGGTCCAGCCAGGGTGCACCAGAACCCATCCTGCCTCTGCCTGCTCACTGGGACCGTATCAGGGAGCCACTGTCAGCCTTGGGTTTGAGAGAGGAAGAAACCCTCAGAGACCAATGCCTGGAGCCCCCGCCAGCAGAGCGGGTTCCTCGGGGCCTGGAGCCCACCCCCAGGGCTCTGGGCTCTTCGCCCCTGCAGCCAAGTCTGCTTTCTGAACATCACCCAACACTGGCCTCAGAGAGTCCCAGAGTAACCTACTACCTCCCCCACCGTTCCTGCCACCCCCCGGCCCCTGTGGGCACCCAGCTCCCCATCTGCACGCTGACAAAACCCATCCGTGAGCGCTCTGTGAGCCCCTCCTCCCAGGGGCGTGGCTGTTACCAATGTTTACAACCAAGAGCCACCTCCTCTCAGACATGTTTACTCTCCCACTTAAAAGGCCTCTTGGTTTGAATCCTGCGTCTGTCTGCTCCTTCCCTGGTTTGGGTCCACTTGAACACCCGGCCCTGATTCTGCACCCCCTCCATCAAGGCAGCGCGTGAAGCCTGTGTGGGAAGGATCTCCTTGTACATATTCAGCACAGCCCCTGGAATATGAACCTGTACTCTTGTTCTGTAAAGAGGGTGAAATATAGCTTATTGTAAAGCATTGGGAGAAGTATTGTATTTGTAACAATATTGTTCTTTGTATACACAAAACTCAATGATCTCTATATATAAATATAAATTATATAAATAAAATATCTATACACGTGAGCCTGGAATGTTGATGCCGCACACCCACTGAATGTACTTCCCCTGACAGTCTGGCCACTGGGCCCGGCCCGCCCTCCCCACCTCTGTACCATTTGGGGGATTGTGATGTATTTAATGTGTTCTTTTCCTTTATTTAACTGAACGCTAATGTCTGTAAGAGTCGCTGCAACAATAAACAAGAACTTCATCTCTTGGTCCAGGCTCAGTGTGTTATTGTTCCCGGGAAGGGATGAAACTCCATGTAGGGGAAAGATTTTATTTTTCCCTGAAAGGCCACCTCCTGCCCACCCTATGGGCCTGCTGGCTGCCCATGGCCCAGGCGTTTTGTAAATGGGTGAACCCTGTGAAACCCACTTGGTTGTAAACACAGGAAGCGGGGCACCTGTCACAGCTGATATTCTGGTCTTCTCGTCCTCCTCAGAGCACACCAGATGGGGGAGGAGAACCCTCTGGATTTCTCCACGATGAAGGGGAATCAGGAGGTGGCTGCGTCCACCCAGAAATCTCCAATGAGGGGAGGTGGCCTTGGTTCAGTGGGTAGTGAAAGGAAAACTGTCCTGGGAGTGGGGGGCCCACCTGGAAGTTCCTGAGGGGTTTCTAGAAGGTTCTCTTGATACTCTTTGCAGTCCTACTTTTTGAAGCTTGCTAGGCATGACCATCCTGCTGGCAGGAGCATTCTGGGGCCACTGAGCCCAACATGGAGTATCCAGGCTTGTTTCTAAAGCAAAATGCCCCAAAGCTTTATCTCTGTGAATACCGCTTCCAGCTGTCCTGTGATGCTCAGTCACAGCCCTGAGCTCTGTGAGCTGGAGCTGCCGACAGCTCCTAGAGGCGGAGCTGGCACCTCCTACCTGAGGGGTACAGAAAGCTGATCTCACCACACAGAGGTGTCTGCTGTTGGGCAAAGTAATGAGAAAACATATTTCACTGACATATGAAGTCACAGCCTTGGAGGATGACTAACAGCCAGTCTGCATAGCACTGGCTTTGTGCCAGGCACTGTTGCAAACACTTTACACAGATTAACTCAGTTAAATTCCCACAGTACCTCTAAGAGGTAGATGCCGCTATTAGGACCATTTGAGAGGTGAGGAAACTGAGGAACAGAGAGTTCAAGGACTTTGGTTCTTTACAACTGCTCCTATCTGTGCTGGGACATCACACTCTGATGAACTCTGATTTTACTTTTTGGTCTCTTGGTTCTTACCAGTTTCTTATTCCAGATTCCTATCATTTGCAAACCTTGAGCTCCTAGTCCATCCATTTTGCCCCACCCTGGGGCTGTGCACTGGGGGAGGGGGTTTGGGGCTCCTGTTGGCTTCCTGTCTCTCTGCACCCCACTTTATAGAAGGGGTGTGGGTGGGAGATGGACACAGATTGCTGACTGTAGGTGTCGCCCTTGGGAAGCTTCAGCTCATAGAAAGTGCTCAGTAAGAATTGGCCTTTGTCAGGTGAAAGGTCACAGGCCTCTGTCTGAGTCCTGCTGCTGACCTAGTTCATTACCCAGGGGCTCGATGTACACAGAGCATAGCCCCTGGCATTGGGGGTCCCTCAGGCCCTCAGCTTCATCTTCCTGCTGACCCCTTAGACCATGGTGTTCTGAAGGGCCCATATCTTCAGCCCGAGCTTATACCCCAGCAAGTCTGCAGCCCCTGGTGTCACTGGTGAGCCAGCTCCTGGGGCTTCCATCTTGCTTGCCCATCGGAGGGCAAGTGGGGCTCCCTTGGCCTTCTCTCCATGAGCCACTTATCTCCACCAGCCACAGCACTGAGCTGTCCACCAGGCCAGGCTCTCAGCCACGTTTAGGTGAGATGGTCACCAACACCTAACTTAGTATGGGGGGAGGACTCGGGCACCCAAACGCCACAGGTCAGTCTCTCTGAGCTCCCTTCCCTTGGCTTGGGTAACGGAAATATTTCTCCTTCCTTACCCCACAGAGTGGAGAGGGGAGTTAAGAGCTCTTTTCCTAAATTCTGCACTCCCCAAATGTCAGCACCTCTCCCTGGTCCTCTTACAGCGCCAGGCTGAGGTGGGAGGTGGGAGCTGGTGGTAGGCCCTATCTTTGGCACCACTCAGCAAGGTCCTGGATGTGTGCTGCCCCTGTGGGAGGTGATTGTCCACTCTGACTGGTGACTGCTGCTACCCCAGATAGGACCTCTCAGCTTTGATTGCCACTAAAATTGTAGAACTAGAGAAAAACAGCCACTTAGCCATGCTGGTGCACTCAGAACCATTCCTTTTAGAAGCACTCACAGAACCTGCATTTTAGTCTTTCATCTGTAATTGCCCTTTATACCATGGTCTTCGAAGCTACTGACCTCTGAGTTGTTTCCTCATCTGTAAAACAGTATCTATCTCCTGGGAACCATGCGAGGACCAGTTAACACATTTGAAATGTTTAGGAAGTGCCTGGCTCATGGAAAGTGCTCGGTGATTATTGGCCATTGTCATATCAAAGGAAGCGTGCCATCTCACCGGGGCTCTGCAGACACAGGTCCTCGTGGGCTCCCCAGTGGAGCCCCAGTCCTGCACAAGCAAAGGACATTACCAAGGAAGCTCCCAAGTGGCTGTGGTAGTGGCCATGTGTGTGCCGTTGGTGTCTCCACTTGGTTCAGGTGGCCCCAGAACACCTGAAGCCCCAGCTTGGCTTGCAGAGCATTATACACCACTGATATACTTCAGGTCATCCCACAAATGCAGGTTGTAGTTCATAAGCAAAAACTTCTGCTTATGTTGATGCATAATTTTTGAAAGTCAAAAATATGACTCTCCTACAAATGTAAAATGAACATGTATCAAAGATTTATTAACTTTAATGATAAAACAAGGAAAATGGCATAGCTTGTCCAAAGAGCATTTTGAGGAACCAAGTATAGATATTTAAAAAGGAATGTTAGAGTAGAATTGCTAGGCTAGACTTAACTGGTAATGTCCTTTAAGGCACCACAGCTATAACCTTTGGGGTTATCTTTTCTACCAACCAGAATTGAGCTGTCCACCAGGCCAGGCTCTCAGCCACGTTTAGGTGAGATGGTCACCAACACCTAACTTAGTATGGGGGGAGGACTCGGGCACCCAAACGCCACAGGTCAGTCTCTCTGAGCTCCCTTCCCTTGGCTTGGGTAACAGAAATATTTCTCCTTCCTTACCCCACAGAGTGGAGAGGGGAGTTAAGAGCTCTTTTCCTAAATTCTGCACTCCCCAAATGTCAGCACCTCTCCCTGGTCCTCTTACAGCGCCAGGCTGAGGTGGGAGGTGGGAGCTGGTGGTAGGCCCTATCTTTGGCACCACTCAGCAAGGTCCTGGATGTGTGCTGCCCCTGTGGGAGGTGATTGTCCACTCTGACTGGTGACTGCTGCTACCCCAGATAGGACCTCTCAGCTTTGATTGCCACTAAAATTGTAGAACTAGAGAAAAACAGCCACTTAGCCATGCTGGTGCACTCAGAACCATTCCTTTTAGAAGCACTCACAGAACCTGCATTTTAGTCTTTCATCTGTAATTGCCCTTTATACCATGGTCTTCGAAGCTACTGACCTCTGAGTTGTTTCCTCATCTGTAAAACAGTATCTATCTCCTGGGAACCATGCGAGGACCAGTTAACACATTTGAAATGTTTAGGAAGTGCCTGGCTCATGGAAAGTGCTCGGTGATTATTGGCCATTGTCATATCAAAGGAAGCGTGCCATCTCACCGGGGCTCTGCAGACACAGGTCCTCGTGGGCTCCCCAGTGGAGCCCCAGTCCTGCACAAGCAAAGGACATTACCAAGGAAGCTCCCAAGTGGCTGTGGTAGTGGCCATGTGTGTGCCGTTGGTGTCTCCACTTGGTTCAGGTGGCCCCAGAACACCTGAAGCCCCAGCTTGGCTTGCAGAGCATTATACACCACTGATATACTTCAGGTCATCCCACAAATGCAGGTTGTAGTTCATAAGCAAAAACTTCTGCTTATGTTGATGCATAATTTTTGAAAGTCAAAAATATGACTCTCCTACAAATGTAAAATGAACATGTATCAAAGATTTATTAACTTTAATGATAAAACAAGGAAAATGGCATAGCTTGTCCAAAGAGCATTTTGAGGAACCAAGTATAGATATTTAAAAAGGAATGTTAGAGTAGAATTGCTAGGCTAGACTTAACTGGTAATGTCCTTTAAGGCACCACAGCTATAACCTTTGGGGTTATCTTTTCTACCAACCAGAAAACATTTGCATCTGTAGTTGGGGTAGAAGGAGGGCAGTTAGATGGTGAGAAGGGCTCTGTAGAAAAATGAAGCATGGAAAAATAATTGAGACTCTAACAGATATTTGTGCACCCACGTTCATAGCAGCATTATACCCAATAAAGTGTAAGCAACCAAAGTATCTATCAAGGAATGAATGAATAAATAAAATGTAAAATACATATAAAATGGAATATTTACAGAACCTTAAAAAGGAAGCTAATTTTGACAAATGCCATAATATACATGAAACTGAAAGATGTGTGAGGTGAAATAAGCCCATCAACAAAGGACAGATACTGTATGATTCCACTTATAGGAGGTCCTTAGAGTAATCAGATTCATAGAGACAGAAGGCAGAAGGGTGGGTGCCAGGGGCTGGAAGAGGGAGGAACGGGGAGCTATTGCACGTGGTTTTAGTTTTAGAAGATGGGAAAAGTTCTGGAGATGGATGGTGGCTATGGTCGCACAACAATGTGAATATACTTGATGTCACAGAACTGTACATGTAAAAATGGTTAAAATGGTAAAGTTTGTGTTATTTATATTTTACCACAATTTTTAAAATAAAAATAAGATAAAGCTTGGAATGAGTGTGGAGGTCATTTCTTACATGGGATGGCTAGAAAAGGCCTCAGTCAGGGGAAGTAAAGGAGGGCCCTGTGGATGTCTAGGGGATGACTGTTCCCAACCTGGAGGGGTGGCTCACACAAAGGCCCTGAGGACAGCTCTTGCAGGGAGCAGGCAGCACTGGAAGCCAGTGTGGCTGAAACAGAGGCAGGGTGGCAGTAAGGGGTTGGAGTTGAACTCAGTGGGGTAGAGGGTGATGGTGGTCAATGTCAGTGGTTGAAAGAATTCTGGTGCTGCACACACACACTCCTAATCACTTCCACACAGACCCACACACTTCATCACACTCAGCTCACTCTGTGCCTCTGAGATCCCCTCACTAAGCCAGCCCTTTTACATC